AACAAGCTGAGCGATTCTACGTCTTGTGGAACCACAGTCATCACAACACACATGAGCAGCCACCAAAGCAAGTTATTGATGTTGGAGGGACCCTGTTCTCTTATCAGTGCTCTATGCTTGAACGTCCGCTTTTCATTGTCCTTGATCTTCTCTCTCAAGAATCAAGTGATAGTTCGCAGAGCGTTCAACTATGGTTGCAAGACTTGCCATCTATCCACAAGTAAGCCGGCTCCTCATCCGAACGTGCTATTCATATCTAATATTTTACCAGGGTTTTCCATGTAGTCATCTCAAATCTTGATGAGCTTTCTGAACATGATGAAACCAGCGGGAAGAAGACAGAAAACCACTCAATTTCCCCGGATGACTATAAGGAGTGTGACTATCTGTTACAGACAGCCTCGAATATTATCTCTGCGCTTTCGCAAAATGGATGGGTCGCACTTCTTACTCATGTGCTAGGCAATGAGAAGCGCCTTGAAAAATCCAAATCTGAAGGTAGGTAGTTTATCTTCTCACGAAACAATTGTTGCTAATATGGATTCTTGGATAGAAAATGCAGACTTCAAAAGCCTCCATTCCGCCATATTCGAGGCGTCCCTTCGAATCGTCAGCGCACAACCCCCGGCTCCTACGGAAGTTAATGTAGATTGTGAACGACTGCATAAGGACTCACTCCAGCTCATGCGGCAACTTCTTCTTGGGCCCGGGGCGGAGGAATTAGTGGAGTCTGGCATTGATGATTTCTTAGTGGAGCGCCTTCTTGTATCTTCCGATGGGGGCAGTATTGCGGTGCAGGGTGCACTAATCGACGCACTCCTTGCTGCATTGAAGGTGCGATTTGCGCAAGCATATCTACCACCACCACCTCCTCGGCCGAGGGATCTACGAGCTGCCTCTCGAGATCGGCTGACAAGTCCTTCAATCTTGTCTTTCACCAGTGACAAGGGAGATAGGAGACAATCGCTACCACAGTTACCGCAGCCGCCAGAGCGGCTTCTGGATTGTCTTTTGAAGGGGATAAGCTCACCCAAATCCCGAGAAATTGTAGACAAGTGGATAGTGTTGCTCTGTGAGGTGCTCCCTCTATACTCAGGTTCTATATTCCAGATCCTATTGATGCTTGTGGAATGTTTCTGTAGGGAAATCAGAGCATCATATGGCAGACTCCAGCTGTCCTTCCAGCAAACAGAGGATTGGCCGCAGGACCGTTCCGAGCATGTCACAATTGCTCTTCTGAGTGGCCTCGAGACTTGTATCGCAAATGCCCACGAACGTCTCATTGTGGAAGAGTCCAACGTTCCAGCAGTCAAGAGCCCTGATCAAGCGCAAGGATTTTTCGGAAACATGGTGTCTGGGGTATTCAACTCGGAAGGCGGACAAAATCGCCCAAATACCGCCAACGACCGTCTGACTGTTCTTCTCTGTTTCCAAGATGCCGTTCGCTTATGCTTCTCCATCTGGGCATGGGGTGCGGGAGATCATAGTGAATCTCCTCCTGATTGCGAATCTCTGGCCTCGTTTCAATACACCTCGCTGCGAATGAGAAATCGCTCACGGCGAATCTTGGAGCACTTTTTCACCGCGGAGGCACTTGAGTGTCTTGAGACCTTGGTGGAAATGTGGACCAAGTCTGACACGGAGACAGCATCACTTATCTTCAATCTCCTCCATACACTCGATGGGTCAAGCCCAAAAATCACCATTCCTGCAATTTTCAATGCAATATACACTCGCACTAATCCCAGTGCCTTGGAGCCTAGCCGGAAGTCTTCGTTGACGTCCAGTCTCTCTGAGTCTGAGCTTGCTAGCTTTTTGGTTACTTATGCCCGGTCACTGGACGATGATGTCCTTGATGAAATTTGGACAGACTGCACGACTTTCTTGCGCGATGTTCTTAGCAATCCATTCCCGCACCGGCAGATTCTTCCACGCTTGATTGAATTCGCCGCTATTTTGGGGGTGAAATTGGAGAATACAACCTTTGGCGAAGACCGCCGTATGCGAAAGGAACTTGGAGTATGTGTATTCACTGCTGGTTCTACCACCGTCACTAACAATTATATCGTAGGATGTTCTCCTACGACTCCTTACCGCAGTCTTTACCAGCAAGCCCCTAGGCCTCAACCATGATACCGGCTCTATGGCAAGATCTTCGGTGGATCATGATCGTACCTCGGTCTCTCATACTGGACCTGATGACATGTTGAGCATTCTAGCGGTCTCCATGCCGTCGTTTATCACGACCCTGGGTGATTCAGATCGGATCAACACCGCCATTACTGGTGTCTCGACTAATGTAGTGGGCCCACTCATTCGGTCACGTCTCTTCCCTAACAATCTCAACCGTAATGTCATGGTTCTTCTACAGCAAATGGCGAAAGTACCAGCTGCGGCGAAACTGTGGAAGAAAGACATATCCGACGCGTTCAATGATGCTCGATTCTTTGGATTGCAGTTGGATTTGGTGAAGAACAGCTGGATGGACTTGCTGCGGCAGTGGGTTCTTACTGACAAGGAACGGCTATCCGAACTTCTTGTCCGCCTTCCACCACCAAGCTCAGCGGGTATCATGTTCGGCGTGGGAGCCTCTGCGGCCCGGTTGGAAGCCGATCGCAAAGCACAGCTCAACCTCCGGCGAATCGCGCTGCTTGTGCTTTCCGCCAGCGACGATTACTTTGTTGGCGAATTGCCGGCATTACTTCAGAAACTGGAAGATCTTCTTACGGCGACCAGCTCCTCGTCGCCATCTTCTGCCACTCGGGCGGAAGTGTTCATGGTCCTTCGGGCAGTCGCGCTCAAGACCTCCGCCGCGACTATGGCGCCATTCTGGCCTCTGGTCAACACGGAACTACAAGAAGCTATCTCAGCAGTACCCCAGGGCTCTCAGCCAGAGCTCTACAGCTCTTACTCGCTGCTTCAAGCGTGCAAGCTTCTCGACGTACTACTTGTCCTCGCCCCAGATGACTTCCAGCTCCTCGAATGGCTTTTCGTAACCGACACGATTGATGCGGTCTATCCGCCGGATCGCTGGGAGCCCATTGCTTTGGCAGACGAAGTCTCTCAGACATTCGGTCCACGCAGTGCAGGCTCACCCACTGTTCCCACGGAGACCAACGAGCCCCAGGCCAGCAGTGGTCTTAAGCGCCCATGGCTCATCTCAGACTGGATTCGAGAGACACCCAAAGATGAGATTGTCGACCGGGTCCTGCGCCCATTCTTCGCTCGGTTGAGTATCTATGTGTTTGAGAGTACGTACAGCATGGGCAGCGTAGATATGACAGTGTGCCGAAATGATTTGTTGGCGGATCTCTTCAACGAGAGCACAATGGCCAATTAAGCGAAGCAACGAATCATTTACTTTAGCTCTAGATATTGCAGAGTGATTCCAAATATAATCTTTTTTATGTTGTAGTCTCCCTTGTTTGTATACAAAAAGGCCTCAGGTCTCCAAGTTCCGAGCCGCCCGGACCTCCGCAATTATCAACGTCACTTCCAACAAACTCCCCTTGCCACCATCTTCCATCAAACAATCCATAAATCTTCCTTCTACATTTGAAATAATTTTGTCAATATGCCTGTTGGCACAAAGATCTTTCTCCCTTTGCGCGGACGCCTCGGTATTCGGTCCTTCTCATCGTCCCGCGCCCGCTGGCAGGCGGCCGCGCCGCTACCATCAAGGAAGCCCGTTGGAGCTTTCCGAGGAGGGTATGGGAAATTCCCCTGTTTCTAATGACATTCAGTGTCAAATTGCCACGCATCTCTAAGCTCTCTTGCTAATATCTGACAGTGTCTTTGGATTCCTGACTGGATCTGTCGCCGCCGGCGCGTCGGTGTACTATTACATCCTAGGAGAGTACCGACTATCCAATGAGATGCTGTCTGATGACATTGCGGTATGTCTATAGCTTCTCGACTGCTGAGTCTCTGAGATTCCGAGAGGGTCTTCCTATTTATCGAGTTTTGATCTTCGCAGAACTAATCGTTTGTTTCATAGGCACTCCAAAAGGCTACTATCAAGCTCCAGTCATACATTACAGAACTGGAGTCCAGAGTTGATCAGCTGCACAAGAAGAAATAAGTGCCAGATTCATGTTTGATATGTGTATTTATTATTGCTTGGAGGTGTTGGGTGTGTTTGTTTTCTGTGCATGAAGCTTGTCAATCCTGGACATGAAGCCCGCTATCATTCTCTAATAGCCAGGGCATAGCTTTCTGTTTCTTGATTTTTTTTTGCATGAGATTAGTCCCGGCTTTTCGAATATCAACATTTCCTTTCCCGACCATTGACCAACTAAATCTTTAACCCTGTAACCGTGACTAAGCATTCACCTACACCCGTCCCGCGTGTAGGTGAGCCAATACCTATTAACAAACCAATACCTATTGACAAAAAATTCAACCTTTCAATTTCAGACCTATTTTTCAGCCACCATATCATCTGTATTTACATATTTAAATAGCTCATCGTCAACATCGAGGTAATCTCTACCTCCTGATGCCTCTTCTTTTTCCTTAAGAGCTTGGTTGGCGCGAAGCCAGTAGTCTCTAATCCTTGCGTCCGCACTCTCACGCTGAATGTCCAATCTGGATTCCTTCGTACAGCGCCGATAAACCCTCGAATTGCCTGCAATTGACGATAACGGAGACTTAGAAGCACCCTTTATAATACGCTTTGACTTTTTAATAGGAATTTTGTGGCTTTGCATCTTTTTGATCGTCTGTTTTGCAAGGGCTAGGTCTTGGATAGCCTGCTTACCGCCACGAATCGCACGGTTTATATGCTTTTGAACCTTCGGAAGGTCTGGTTCGTCGTTTTCAAATATCGCTTGAAGCTTATTCTCAATTTTTGAGAACCTTTGATCCGAATTAGGCGGCGAATTGGTAACTGAACTAGGAATTTCTATCCCTGGGTCCGGCGAAGGTGTATGACCATAGATCTCAATCATTGGTTCATCTTCCCAGCCAGGATCAATCTGATCACAGACAATATGTGGATTCTAAGGCCAAATGCCAGTATCATAGAATGATGATTTAACAGTTCGTGCTTTAAATGTGTCCTTACGAACTGTCTTAATCATCTGAAGAAAGTGCCGTTTATCGTCAACATCTCCACCCCATCGTACGATCTCGTTATTCTTCTTTCGGAACTTCTGTTTAAGGACCGAGAATGGCTTGCCATCGAGAGGCTGGCATCGATGTGTCAATTTTGGTATAAACCACCAAGGTATAATGTTTAAGCTTTGGCAGATATATTCGAACTCCGGGGTTCCATGAGAACCATGGTTATCCATAACCAATACCCTAGGTCTGCCTTTAGTAACTCGCTTTTTGGTGGTATAATGGAAATCCAATAGCCATTGAATAGCAGTTTTATCGTCCGTCCAGCCTTTTGTAGTTGGTTTAATAACCCGGTAATTCGAAGGGTCATTATCGTTGTCGTACCAATCTTCCATTTGTTCAGAACCACGCATTAAAAACCATGGATGCATAACCCAGCCATCGGCCGAAATACACTTAATACCAGTGATATTCTGGCCTATTCCACCGGTCGCAATAGTCTCACGTTCGCGGGTAGAAGCCACGTTTTCCTTAGTTCCAATACCTAGCTGAAAGCCAGTTTCATCCCAGTTATATAGTTCGTGGGCCTGGATTTTATTCTTTTTAAGGAATTGGCCAAAGACCTTATACCAATGAACTAATTCACCGTGTAATTCGGCCTCGATTCTCGCTTTTTCCATAGGCTTTTGTGTACGGAGAGTGATGTGTGGTGGTAGGCGCGCGATGAATTGGTAGCCGTACATTTTACTGACCTGCCGGTCGGAACCGCAGTGCTGTAAAATGCGGTTTGCAGCGCCCTCAATATCTAAAGCAGTCGGTGGTGTATATACTGAATTGAGTAGCTCGATCCAGCGAATAAGAGAGGCTTCTTGCGAGGGATCCAGGGCTTTTTTGGTGGCTATACGGCCTTTTCCATTTGTCCTGCCGTCCTTCCGGTTGCGAAGCTTCCACTTTGAGACGCCAAAATGAGAAGCTGCGGCCTGAATACTATTAAATTGGCCTGATTTATAGGCTTCGAGGGCATTTGAGAGAAGGATCTCTTCTTTTTCGGAGGAAATTGGCATTGTTTTGGTGGTAAAAAGTAAGGTTAAAAATTGAAGGTTGAATTTTTTGTCAATAGGTATTGGTTTGTTAATAGGTATTGGCTCACCTACACGCGGGACGGGTGTAGGTGAATGCTTAGTCACGGTTACGTTGTACTCTCTCCAACCACAAAAACCCGCTGCAAACAATACAAACATTTTATCGTCTCCAACAACACCCCCCCCCCCCCCCCCCGGGAGCTATCATCTACTTCCGCATTACCACCAAACCATCTCAACACCCCAAATCCCAAAAATGTTCCGCGTCGAACTCGTCTCAGACACATCAACGGCCACACCAGGCTGGTCCTACGCCCCAACTCGGGGCTTCGACCCCACACAAGCGATGGCCCCAACCCTAGGCCGCAAACGCGGCATCCGCGACGCCGGCAAGGGCGGCGACATTTCTTCCCGACAAGCGAACGCAATCGCACGCCACATCGCCGAACTAGACCGCGAGAACCAGCGCGATGTCGCCATCCCAGCACCAGTAAAACAAGCCCGAGAAGCCGGCGCACGCGGCACACGAGCAAAAACCACCTCGAACGTCCGCCGCATCCTACAATCCCAAAAGACCTTCCGGAACCACCTAGACGACGAAGAAGCAGCAATAGTCTCGGGCAGCGGGGGCGTAGCAGGCATGCAGGGCGCGGGAGGCGCGAACATCATTGCGGCTAAGGGAGGCAAGGCTGCCGCGCGCAGCTCAACACCGGCTAGCACAGCAGGTATCAAACGTCCCTCGGCGGCTATGGCGGGCGTTACAACTGGTGCATCGACGCCCGCGCACGAGACTACGGACGCTGAAACTGATCTTGATGATGAACCGCCGCGTAAGCCGAAACTTATCAAGTCTGAATATGACAATGATCCCCTGTTGCGCTCGTATGCGCCCCCTGTGCCTTCTGATCGGATTATGCAGCGGCTGCTGGCTGAGGCGCCGCTTTCTTATAATGCGTCGCGTGCGAAGCCGCAGGCGTCGGGGCGGTCGGGGCGGGAATTTTGTTGCATGTGTGGGTATTGGGGGAAGATCCGGTGCAAGAGTTGTCATTTGAGGACTTGTGGCTTGGATTGCTACAAAGTTCATGAAGATTCGAGGTGTGGTGCTTTCTTTTAGGAGGTTTGGTGTGTGCTTGTGTGTGTGTATACTATTGAGAAGGAGCTTGGCCTGGCCCTGTTCTGCTGATGACATTATGAATTGATACCAAAAACTGTACAATAGAGAAATATTAATGTGAGATCCAAAACAAGACTTGTATATATTTTTTCAAATCTCATTATATATGGGCTCTACGCAATAGGTAAAATCGAGTTTTTAAAATATGCTGCAAGGGTTGTAAAGGGCTCAACATTTCAGGTTGATGCCCGCGCGGAGCTCGTCTTCGCGAACCTCAAACATAACCTGCACGCCGACGAAAAGTACTACGCAGCAGGAAACCATGTATGCTAGGCCAGAGTATGAGCCTGTTAGACTGGCAAGCAGATCCTTTAATCCATCGATACCCAACGCAAAGCCGACCAAGTTTGCGATCATCATCATGAGGACGTTCCCAACGGAGCCAATGCCGCAGAGGACACGATACGTAGTGGGACGAGAGCGCCAGCGATGGGCCGGGAAAAACATGCCTCCCAAAACTTCTGGTAGAACGAAGAGAGTAACAAGCCAGCCCCACATGAGCAAGCGGAGGTTGATATCGTGCCATAAGGCAACGAAGGTGAAGACCAGCAGGAAGTTGCGGATTTGGAGGAACTTGCCCATGAAGTTGGACCAAGGAGATGAAGCTGGTTTGGGTGCTCCGGGTGGCCGACGTCCACCACCACCACGACCACCGCCGAGCGGGATGTAGATGTAGCGGACGATCCAGCGGTTGTAGGAGCGGTGCCAACCGCGCCAAAAGGCGAGGGCAGAGTAGTTGTTGGACATGCAGCGGACCATGTTTTCCGGTGGATCAATCCCGTCTACGAGGGCCCAGAGACGGAAGAACCGCCAGGGGATGAGGAGTTTCAGCCAGATTATGTGCAGGTTGAAGAACGCGAGCATACTCAGTTGCCCCGGAGTGAAGACGGACCAGTCTGGGTCAGCTTTCGAGATTGCTACCGCATAAATGTAGTGGAGGATAAGCTCCATGCAGAGCAGGGTGAGGCCAAAGCGGACGGCGTACATCATGATGCGAGCTCGAGTGAGCGACGCCGATGTATATCGCTGTTGAGATACATAGTCGTTGAATGTCAATATTGGACCGGCCACATACAAAGGTGCGTAGAGCACATAGGCGATGTAGTTGCGGAATGTAAAAGCGGTTGCTTCTGCCGGGATCTTGACCCGATCACGGTCAGAGAGGGTTGCAGGGTCTAGTTGCTTCTTCTTGTAAAACTCGGTAAGTTTAATTGCCATATGGGGATCAGTAGCTCATCGAACAGGGAATACTTACTTCAATTGGGCTTGCCGCGGGGTAGTCTGCACTCCAGTGGCGATCCATGTTGAAGCTAATGAGGCGCAACACTGTGACTTTGAAAAAGATCTCCCATCGCGGCATCAGTCCCCCAAGATCATCTAGAGTCTGAGCCCATTGGACTAGCCCTGTGGCACTATCTTCTAATGTCCCAGACCCGGGAGCGAAAACCTTCACTATCCGCTCGAAAGAGTAACCACCGCTTAATTCGTTGGCAAACAAGACGGAGATGTTGAAGATCCATGTGGCGGCAGGCACGTAGGAACGAGGAACAACCTTGCCGATTCGGAAGTTGATATACAGAATCGACAACACTTTGAGAGCGGATACTCCATGAAGTGCTGTTATGAAGATCAATCCGAACCAAAAGTCGAAGCGCATTCGCTGTTCAAGTTGCGCTTCGGCCGCACCATTCACGGAATGGCTCAACTGTTTCGTTTCCACATTCGAGCGAGTCGTGAACGACTGATAAACACGGCGAGCCAAAGGATGGGCGATCAGGAGTAGCAGAAGTAAATGGATCTTGTCGCGGAAACCTTCATATTGCGAATCGGAGTTGTCCTAAAGGCATTGGAGCAGTAATGTTAGTCGAGGCTGGCCTGGTAGATGTGGATAGCTGAACGCCACGTGTGGCGTACTTACCACCTGACGACCAGGGATCCAACCGGATGATAAAAGATGAGAGTATGTGGAATAGCTTGGGTGGCTTTCTGTGACATTGATCCCCAATCAGCATTTCAAGGCCCAGCATTTTCTCCGGCCTGCACTCACCCTTTGAGACATCGATGACAGTCTTGAACATCAATGGGACAAGCACAATAAAGAACAAGTAGTAGACAAAGAATTCTGGTGTGCGCCAAAGTGAAGGTGACGCGCCCTGGGTGATTGCATTGGCGCGGGCATCTTTGGAGGCACCTCGTGTGTCTTGGGCAGGGTTTGAGGAGGTGAAACGGGTGTCAAGTGTGTCTAGCGAGTAGACCCGCCGAAGCCAGGCGAAAATGGAGGGCATTTTATAACAGTGGCATGGCCGGCGCAGGTTTGGAGAAGTTGAAGGTCGGAGAGATGTTTGAGATTCCAGTATTTACTCAGGGGCCGAACCGCCACTTGGTTCTCCGTAGGTGGCCTCTATATACTAACTCGACACGGATCTAATAAGGTTCCAATCTAAATTAAAATTAAAATTAAAATACCGGCGCTATAGATTTCCATTTCATATCAACATATGTAATTGGAATTGAGGAAACATCCTGTAGAAGGTTGTAGATCCCTTTACCCAATCAGCGCTAGCCAGTATCATATCGAGCATTGCCAAGAGTATTCGTGACCTAGTAAGTAGTTAAGAACACAGATCTAGTTTCCGATGTTTCTGATACGGAGTACAGAGTACTTGAATCTTTCACAAGGATATAAACGGAGATTGGCCTTGGAGGTTAAGCAATATAACTTTGCGGGCGCCAAGCACCTCCAGGCCTGGGCACTTGTGTGTGCTTAATCATAGGAAATTGAAAATCCTAATTATGGATGAAAGAGATCGATATAAGAACATAGAATAATAATGTATCTCCAAATCGAAGTTGCATTTATACCCTTGGTTCTCTGAGAAGGACTGTATAACTATCAACCGCTATTGGGGCCACAATGTTCTCCAGGGCTTGGCATCAACACCGTACACTTCAACTCTACACCAAGACATCCTCGATCTTTTCAACTAAGCCTATTTTCGTCCAAAATGTCACACATACGAGTATGTCCCTTGATATATATCCCATTCACTCTTATTCTATGCACATCGCCACCCCGCATCCCGAGAGCCACACGTTTCCCCTGCTGATATTATATCTACTTCAGATTGCTTTCAAAGTCCACGGCACCGTTCAAGGTGGGTAGATCTCAAAAGTTATCCATAAGCTTCAAATATCATCATTCATTCTCTCACTGACATGAACCCCTAGGTGTCGGCTTCAGGTAGGAAACACCCCCCAACTCAGTCGATGACATCATAGTCCCTCGATTGACCAGTACCTATCGCGCATTACAGAGACTTCACCCAGAAATGTGCTAAGCTCGATGAGGTTAAGGGATGGGTTAGGAACACTACTTGTGGAAGGGTGAGCGATGTCTTGTCGTGTCCCAAGACATAGTGCTTACTGGATCTTATCAGGTCGAAGGCGAAGCCCAGGGCAGCGACGAGAAAGTGAAGAAATTCCTCCAGCGCATCGATAAAGGTCCCTCTATGGCTCATGTAGTGAAGCTTGAGAAGCGGACTTTGGATGTGCTTGAGGGCGAGGAGGGATTTACTGTGATGCGGACAGCAGAGTCCATGTTCAAACCGGGGAACTAGGAGTTGATTTCTTTCACTCTATCACGATCAAAACACAAGTGAAGGGCAGCCAGAGAGACTCTTCTACTTCATCATGCTGGGAAATCTCCTTGATTATTGCTATCTAGCCGTATAGGGAAATTGATACTGAAGCAGACATTCTTGTTATCAATAAGTTAATACCAGCAAAAGTGCTAATGTAGCAGGGACTGATAGGGCAATAGCATTGAGACAAGGCTAAAAATTGGAGATTGTGGAAGGCGAAGAAAGAACCAATAATAGAAACGGAAAGTATCTGAACTATTGGTCTTCAACCTATTGTAATCCTCCTCTACTTTGAAAACGATGCTATAGCTTAACTCGTCAGTCGTAATACTATGTAAAAATGTCCCCGTAAAATCAACGCGCTGATAAAGATATCAGTATCCTTGTCTCTTTCGCGTTTTCATATGTTGAAGAGTATAGGCAGACGATGGATATAAAAGAAGTGAGTGAGAATGACGACCGTGGAAAATGGTTGGCAGACCTTGACTTCGGACAATGACATCTGACAGGCTCTCATTAGATGTACACCAACATATTACCTAGGTATAGATCTTTCATGCCGAAAAACCATTCGAGGTAAGCAATTAAGATGCATGTGCCTCAATCGGCAGGAAACGGGCAGAGATTTCTTCCTTTTTTTTTCAGGTACCAACGTCTATTCAGTCACCGGTGAGGCAGATCTTTTCAAGACCGAACTCAAATGACCTCAAAACTCCTTTGATGTCGAATATTTCTCGGGGTTTGACTGCAAACGGCTACAGGACTTCGGGGTGGCTACGGGCTGAGTCACATCGCCGTTCCCGATCCCTTCCGATATCACCTGCCACCACGACTCGACCGCTTTGGGAAATAGTATTAGTGAATGGAATGAATATAGTGCAGGGAGAATGGGAAAGTCGATATATTCGCGTCTTGTTCAAGTATAGCAATAGTGATGTGATGTTGAGGGATATGAGAAATACTGAGAGGCCCATGGAAAGACACCCAAGTGCCTGAGCCATGAAGTATACGGAATGTCATCATATCCAATTGACACCTAGACAACCATCCAAATTTAGCACTTCCGGGGTTTGTCTTTGAAATTTGGTTTCATTTGTGTCCCAAGTATTGCCTAGACTACGTATTTAAAGCTTTAAAGATTGGGGGAGCCTACCTTCATCTCTCTTCTACCAGACTTAACCTAAACTTCTTATTTCTTCATCTTCTTCGTCACATAATCTTCATTGTGCTCAATACTTTCATCATCTTCAAACGTGACAGACCTCAAACTCAAACTCTTTGGTTACATCATGAATACTCTATCAGTGAGGGCTCCCTTGCGGGGTGCAGCAAGGCTGCAGTACCTGCACCTTGCTGTACGAACCTACTCGGGTGTTGCAGTAAAAACGTCCAATCTCACATGTGGCAAGCGCACATCAACACTCAGCCTCACATCTAAGCGCCCTATCTCGTCAACCCCCAAGAACCATATTCAGGATTATTTCCCACCACCGGAAACTCCAAATGTCAAGGAGGTAACAACGGCATGGGTGCATCCAGTGTAAGCATACCAACAGCCCCTCGATCTGAGCCAGACGCTAACTCTAAGCCAGATACACCGAGGAGCAAATGCGAGATATTCGCATCGCCCACAGAGAAACTTCAAATTGGTCCGACTGGGTTGCCCTAGGAACTGTACGCGTCTTCCGATGGGGCATGGATACGGCGACAGGATACAAGCATCCTAAGCCCGGCCAGGAGTTACCGGCCAGGTTCATAATGACTGAGAAAAAATGGCTGAACCGGTTTGTCTTCTTGGAAAGTGTGGCCGGTGTCCCCGGGATGGTGGGCGGCATGCTGCGACATCTCCGTAGTCTTCGCAAGATGAAGAGAGACAATGGATGGTACGTCAATTATGCGAATCAGGATTCAAGGTCCTCTCATATTACCTCAATGCTAACCCACATCCTCCTAGGATTGAAACCCTGCTCGAAGAAGCATTCAATGAACGGATGCACCTCCTTACCTTCCTGAAACTGGCCGAACCAGGCTGGTTCATGCGCGTGATGGTCATCGGCGCCCAAGGTGTCTTCTTCAACGGCTTCTTCCTGTCATACCTGATCTCTCCACGCATCTGCCATCGATTTGTGGGATACCTTGAGGAAGAGGCTGTCATTACTTACACCCGTGCTATTGCGGAACTAGAGGATGGCAAGCTCCCGGAATGGAAAGATCTCGATGCACCCGAGATTGCGATCAAATACTGGCAGATGCCAGAGGGTCAGCGCAAGATGAGGGACCTGCTGATGTATGTCCGCGCGGACGAAGCCAAGCACCGCGAGGTTAATCACACCCTCGCCAACCTCAAGCAGACCTATGATCCCAACCCCTACCAGATTGAGTACACCGATCCGAACGTCAAGCATCCGACGAAGGGCATTGATAACCTGAAGCCAGAGGGTTGGGATCGCAAAGAAATCTTTGAGGTTGTATCGAGTCAGGCGAAGCCTTGAGTCAAACCGGGCGATTTTATAGCCGTTTCAAAAATGGGTAACTAATAGGTTAGAAAGGATTGGTCATTGAATAGTATCTCGTCTCTTTTTCCAATGAAGTGGTATGTGTGTATGTTCCCTCGTACCTTGCCCCTGGAGGTTCCGGGCTTGGAAGCCCAAACCATGGAACGCGGGGCATAAGCTAAACCCAACCAGGCAATTAAGAAACATCACACGTTCAAGGCCTTGGAAGTATACGAACTGCACATTATGTGGCTTTATAACATCTGACGGTCGACAATCGCCAAAAGGGGACGGGCCTTTTATTTTTGGTGAAAAAGAAATATTCATCTCTTTCAACTCCATGTGGGCAGTTGACCCGCTTCCCCTTTTTAGCCCCCGTTAGTCGAAACCCCCCTTTTGGCCCAAAAGCAGTTTCTCGTCCGTCGATCCTACAGGTCTCATTAAACTTCCGTCCTTTCATTAATCCATTTATATAAAAGCCGTTGCTCGTCTGAGGATCGCCCAGGCCTTGTTAATGGCACACTTTCCCCCACAGAATACCCCCCGTCACTGTGAACCTTCCATTGATCTTCACCCGACTCAGATCCACTAAATCTGGCCTGGTGAAATATAGCCCACATTCAATAATTCAAAGATGGACGCGGCCCGATATTCCATGGACTCTAAGGCGACGCGCATCCGGGCATCCTCGCCGTCGCCATCTATCCCGGCAACGCCAGCTATATCCTCATATTCCTCACCAGATCGCACATTTTCCTCCGAGTCTTCCCGCTCTGCCTCCTCCGCCACCTCCGCAGATGCCAGATCATCTGTGTCAATATCCTCTCGCCGCCATGGATATACCCGTGCATTGGGTGCCGAGTTCTCAGAATCCGCCCGCCATCGCGACAGCGTCATGAGCCTCGGCAGTATTGCCCACTTACAATATTATTTTGCCCGGACGGGATTACTGGATGGGAAGAGCGGGAGGGGTCGCGAGTGGGAAAAAGACAAGAAGAACAAACATAATGTGCCACGAGTCCTGATCACCCCCAATCAACGACACATAGATGATGACCTAGTCGCGAGCCCGACAGATATGGTAGAACAGGCGGATGGGGCGGATGGTGAATGGGACGAGGAGGACGCCGAGGTGATGCTGCCGCCTACAGTCAGCACATACAGTATCAAAACCCACCACATTCCCCCGCCGCCAGATCTGATGTTCTTGCGTCGGCAGCTTACGCTCGCGCTGGATAAGGCAGAGACTAATATCGAGGCAATTGAGAATGGCGCGGAACCTCCTCCTCGCCCAATCCTCCGGTCGAGTCTTTCTCCGGGTGATGTCCCCGAGGATGATCAATCCGGGCAGGTCCCGACCCCGATGAATAAGGAGGAGGCGCAGGGCATGTGCATCCTGGACGATGTTACAAACGCAATCCGCGCGGCAAAAATCTACTATACCACCCACGAGAACCCAGAACGCTTAGCATCAATAAAGAGCGAACGGGAGATCCGCAAAGAACTTTTTGACGTCCTGGAAGTTCTAAAACGATGGGCTGCGCGACATTTCGCCAGCGGTCTGCGCGAGGAGGAACGTGGCCGGATTCAGGGGTGGATTGCGGCTGTGCGTACCATGTTGGTCCGCGAGAAAACGCTAGAAGATCTTGAAGCCCAAGAGCGGGCGAACTGGGATTGGGCTGCTGGCGATTGGAGAGGCCGTGAGCGCTCACGCGAGGAGTCCTTCCTACGCAGCCTATTGCCTGGCGGTGACTCCTTGCCCACCTGGACACCGGTGGAGGAGACTCCCATTGACTCCCTTCCCACCGCGTTTCTTGATAGGTTCCGGGACGGCCGTTCCCTGATTCAGTTACACAACCTTGCGATCAAAAAGTCGAAACGCCAATTCGGCGAGATCACGGCTTACCACTTGGACATTGCCAAGCCATACCGGCAGACTGAAAATCTTCAGTTCTGGGTAAAAGCTGCACAGCTCCGGTGGGAGCTCCGCCTGGATGTTGATGTTATGGGTGTTGTACAAAATAATGGGGTTACTGCTTGGAAGCAGTTCGATACTGCGCTGTTGGCTTGGTGCAAAACTGTCCGTGAAGAGCTGGTGCGCGATTGGCAGGCGGCTAACCCAGGACGACCCCCGAGCGCTGGGTTGATTTGAGGGCAATGTTTGAGGACTTGAAGTGTTCGAAATCCATGTTTGCGTCTCGGTTTCTATTTCTCTTTGATATCTTTACGGGCACTTGATACGATACCCCTGAATTGTCGCCGACTGTTCTGCCCATTCATATTTTTGGGTTTTTATTTATTTTTATTGGCCTCTTTTGGAATTCTATTCATTGTATATCTTACTGTTTCATTCCATAGACGCGTACATGCATCAGATTGAAGCTCTGAACATTCATCCCCTGTCTTACTTTTGTGCTCAGTCCACGTTAGGAGATATGTTGCTGATCTGAATATGCAAGGATGGGACTAACTCCTTTGGGCATTAATTCTTTAATTAACGCGTCTACGGGGGAGTACTTTGACTTGATCGACCTCGTGCACTGAAGGTGTACAATACATGTATGATATAGGGTTAAGAGTTAAATTGATATAGCCCTAGCAGAAATATTGAAAACCATTTAGATGAAACAATCTAAAGAAAATTAACACAAGTAAACAAAAAGTGAAATGATTTCATCTCGCTGATCCCCTTGAATTACATACCGAGGAGGTACATCAGGCCCCATAGTTAATAGTACGGGGCTAGAGGTACCCATTCTGCAGAGTAAACGGCCGTACATGGCCACTTTATCCCTCTTATGATTTGTTTCAACGGTTGCTGCCCGATATCCCTTCAAACTCATGAGACTTTGCATCTGGACCATTTACTCATTCTTGTCATGTAGCAGAATTTCTTTCCGACACTTTGAACAGTCAAAAAAAAGCCAGCCTTGAACCGTGAGAAGGGGTTTCCCTGTTACCGAGCGCCGAACAAGACGAAACATTCCTTGTATCCCTGTCTAAACCACATCCTTTGGCCCTTTTGCCTTTCAATCCCCCCAGGGCCTGTCTCCATGCATGCCACAGCCGAAAGTCCAACTTTTGCGACCGACCTCGCGACGCATCCCACCAACACATCCCCAACACCTACATCCCCCCCGTCGCTCACCCCCGCGCTCTCCGTCTCTCCAAATGACTCCGGTACCTCCACCCTCCGACGCCTGAAGTCCAAATCATCCCTCTGGAGCTTAGGGAGTAGCAATAACGAAGAAGAACCTGCCCCTGCTGAGCCGACTAGTGCCGGCCGAACATCCATCCTCCGCCGACTTTCTCCCGCCCTCGCGGCTCGTGTCAAGCTGCTGGACAGCAGTAATAAGTCCGCGACGCAGAACCGGCATGCCAATGCGGTCGGTCGGATCCCTGAAGAACACCTGAAGGAGCTTGATAATCTTCACCAAGATCTATCGATCAAAGTGAAGAGGAAAGGCCAGGCGTGGAATGGTACAAACATCTCACCCGGAGAAACCCAGTTGAAGCGGAGCGCGTCGAACCAGCTGGAGCTACCCCACCAGGATATCCTTCGAGAGATTTCAGACGCGCAAAGGGAGAGCCCGGAGTCATCCGAAGCAGTCGTGGACGGTCCTGAACTACCCACTCCGCCCATCATTATTCCGGTGACTGCCCAACCCGTGGAAAACATCAGCCCACCTACGCCCATGTCTGTCGCAGAGCCGGTTCTCGCGCAGCTGCGCGCACCCCCCATGCCGAACCCACAACATCCCAATGACGCTCAAGATGACCGGACCGACTTCGAGAAATATGTCGACGATACTGCACGAAGAGAGGAACAGTCCGCTGATGAGGAATGCGCTCCAAAATCCCCTCCCAAAGACTCGCCTCCCGCCGAGGCCGTGCACTCGCGCTCTTCATCCAACTCTCAATCATATTTCAACCCAATGGGTTTGCAGCGCGCAGACTCCATATACTCTTTCTCCCGTGCATCCTTCAGTAACCAGCTCTCGCAGCTAACCTCCATACCTCTTCCACAACCAGCCTCACTTGAGGCAAGCATCGAAAACATTTCCACGGCTTTGTCTGCGGTTCGGGCGTTGAACGGCGCCGCAGAGCAAATTCAAATTTGGATCAAAAAGGCCTCAGATGTGCTGAGCGGCTTGGATTCTGAAGATGACGTGGAATGGGCTGCGGCTGGTGGCCGGGAGGGGCTAGATGAGGTTGATAAAGCAATCACGCGGTTCGAATCCCTGGTCAATGTGTACGTTAGGGCTATTGAGAATGTCCAACATCGAGACGACATTGCCAATGTGGATGCGGATAACCTGAACACTATTGTGAGCCAGATGGAGAGCATTCTGGAAAACTGGACTCAGATCAAGAAAAAGCTGAAAGGCGTAAAAGAGCAAGTGGAGTTGGCAATGGAGTGGGAAGAGCTTTGGTCGAACGTTTTGGGCGACGTGGGTTTGGAAGTTGACAACTTAAGCGGGCTGATATTTGAGATGGAAGAGAAGCGGCATCAGGCGTTGATGGATACGGGTGAGACCAGTGGAGGCCTTGACATCAATGAGCTGGAGACGATCGTGGAAGAGTCTCCTTCCAAGGCCCGCGGACACACGCAGAACCGTCTGAGTATTGGTCCTCTCTTGGCCTCGGCGTCTGCCACTCCCGTTATCAAAACACCGCAGGACGATACGAGTCACTCGAACCTCATGGCTATCTTTGCACGTATGCAGCCATTGCGCGCATCGTTGGAATTTTTGCCCATGCGACTATCAATGTTTCAGGGACGCGCTGAAGCCATTTTCCCGAGTGCATGTGAAGAGATTGAGGACCGGCGAAAGCGCTTACTGAAGAGCTATGAAGTACTTGAGACCGATGCTGAAGCTCTCCTGAAGGAGTTGGCAGAAGACAAGTGGATTCTAGTTTTCCGCAATGCTGGGTCTCAGGCACAGAAGATGTTTCAATCGGTCGAACGCAGCATTGGGAAACTACAAGACGGGCTAGAAAGTGGCATGCAGGTGCACAACCCGTCAACGTTGGCCAAGCTCATTGAAAGCTTTGAGCAGAAGAAAATGCATTATGTTCCTGCTATTGAGCGTGTTGTTTCCATCATTCAAAAGGGTATCAACGACCGTTTGACTGTCAATGGTGAGATTCTGCGCCTGCTCTCGGACATGGAATCCCGCATGGATGCTCTCAAGGCTAGCATCAGGGTAATGGATACATCCCTTGAAGATGTGCACATCCCCAAAGGCCACCAGCTACGAGACTCAATCTCCAGCATCATGACCATGGACAGTCCAGTCACAGGCAGTGCCATCGAGACGCCAGGAAGCTCGCCTGCGTCGTCAGTCATTATTACCAGCACCGGGTACAAGCGCGCTTCAACGCCCATGGGCGGCTCAAGTCGTCGCGGAAGTTCGGTCGGGAGTGCTACAGCCCGCTCGACTATGCCCCCAAACCGTCGTTATTCCAGCTTGCCGCAGCCCACGGCGAGTTACACCACTCGAAAGTCTGCAATCCCCCAACCGGCAGGCTTTGTTTCTCCTACTCCATCCTACAGATCCACAAGCTACTTCACACCGACCCCTGGTGCTCGTTCTCGTACACCAGCCCCGCCATCTACAATCCCCAATCGCCCACGCTGGAACGCCAGCACGAACCTGAATGACTCGGCTAGTAGTTACAACTCGACACTACGGAAGTCATCCACACCAATCCCTCGCACACCTCGGCCATCATCAGCAATTCCATTCCCCGGCTCCTTCCGACGAGACACGTCTGCATCTCCGATTCCCGGCGGTCTTCGATCAACCAGTCGCATCTCGAGCCGCCTTAGTTCTCGGAGTCCCAGTCGGAACGTGTCCTCTCCCACACCAGCGCGGCCCTCGCTCCTCGACCCACCGCCGTACAGCCGGCTCTATCGGCAATCAGGAATGTCAAATACACCTCGCAGTCGCCAGAGCTTTGCGGGTCCGCCTACGACTTTCAGTCGAAGTGTGTCAGGAACTACAAATGGTATGGAGAGCCCCAGCAAATCGGCACGACCAGGTACATCGCTAGGCCACTCCAGCAATAGGCGGACCAGTCTACTCCCGGTTCCCAGACGAATGGAGAAAGAGCCGGCAGCCCCCAAACCAGTGGACACGCGTCCACGGTGGCGCTAATGGCAGCTGAGTTGTAAATCGCAAAGTTCTGTAGCTACATCTCCTATGCCACCTATAGCCCTCATCTGCTCTCCCTCTTCATTCTATCTTCCTACTATCCTCCTCCCATCTACACTTCTACGACCTTGTTCTATCTATGTTCTATCTATGTTTTTTTTACTTGTGCATTACACCCCTTCCGTCTCGGTGCGATCTTGATTTCCAAATCGGTTCTAAGTCAGTGCGAAGGGGAGCCATCATTCTAACGAGTCAAATTTGCGCGATATCCCCATTGTTTGCATGGTATGGTCTGAGCGTTGGGGTCATCTATTTCCCGGTTATTTTCTCTTTCAAGTCTCATTGATTACCACTCCCTTCTCTTCCCTGTGAATATTCTTCCTTGTAGTTTTATCTAGTTTGCCTCTGGTCTTGAAAATGACATTACTCGTTTCAATCAGCCAAGTTTATTGGCATATGTATATGTTGACGTTGGTTCATCGTAGTATGTTCATCTTTCGCAACAACACGCCAATTCGAACATGACTTCATATGTGAAACATGGATGGACCGCTTAATCTAAAACTGAAACTTGTCATTTTAATTTCCCAACTCACGTCCAAAAATCAATGCATCCACCAAATCCTCGCTATTCGCCAACCGCCCAGCTTTGGGGACCCGTCCAATAACGCTAAACCCTAGCCTCTCCCAGATACGGATAGAAGCCGGGTTATTGGCGAAGACCAGATTGAAGACTGAGTATGTGTATCCCTACGAAACAAGTTAGCCACGGATTTTGTGTGCCTTATAGAGCAACGGCTGCCAGTGCAAAGCCGGGGCTAAGCCATACCAATCTCGGTGCGAATTCCAGGTAGGCTTCGCCCATAGCCTGGCCAACACCCTTACCGCGTGCGGCAGTAGTGGTGAGAAAGCCTGCATTGCAGATGTGGGAGCAGCGGCCTATTAGAGTTAGTGCTATTCTTGTAGAGATCGATTACAATTCGAATACGACAGAAAACACATACCAGGATAATTAGGCTTGATATAAAAGGTTCCCATACAAACACTCTTCCAGTCTCTTCCCTCCCTTAAACCCTCCCCCTCATCGTCCAAGATCGCCAAAACCGCAAACGTCCCGAACCAATAGTCGGCGAACTGGTCCAGCGCCATCGGCTGCTCCATCGGGTACGTCCCGCCGCGGAGGATTTCCGCGCTGAACTCCTCGTGCAGGAATTTGACCAGGTCCTTTGGAACTGTTTGTGGTCCTCCCGTGATGGGGTAGAGCGTCATTGGGGCGGAAGAGGACTTAGGGAGGGTGGTTTTCCTCGCTGTTAGGGTCGGCGCTGCATCTGTGTGTGCTTTTGGTGGAGGAAGGCGGGTTAAGGGGTCTTCTAGGATGGAGGGCATGATGAGTGGATGGGAATTTTTGGGAATTTTTGGGAATTTTTGGAATGGGTGGATTGAGACAGGTTTGGGGATAGAGCTGAGGTGTGATAGAATCTCAATTGGACAATTGTACAGTAGTCAAAAGGAATTTGACAATTGATATACTCTCTCCGTATCGGTATCGGAGGCGATTGTTGGATGAGTCAGCATGTCATTGCTAGGGCGTTCTCCACTGATGTTGGGGTAGTGTGATTTCCGTTCATGGTTCTTCTGCTATGTGCTAGAATATGATAGATGGATCTAGGGCTGAAATTGCTTTTGTGCAGGGGGGTCACCTTCTCGCCAATTGTCACCGTGTGAAACATGTCGCGGTGAAACATGTCTAGGTATCTCTCGGAGTTGTTCCGCAATCTACAACCTAAAGTCCCCAGACGTAGTCATAGAAGGACCATACTCCGTAATAGATATAACTTAAGTGCGGACCTGACCAGTCAAACCTGTTAAATCAAGTGAAAGACTCGTCTCTTCTATTCCTACACATAGTATGTACATATGGGCTGGTTGGGGGGAGATGCCTGCATATCCCAGCATAACCCTACCAGGGGCGCCTAACTGCCCTAAGATCAAGCACTCTGCATTCAAGGATCGGTTTAGACGGATGGGCCGATACCTCATTGAAGTTGATGTCGCCAATTCTCGGGGTGGTAGCATCACCCTCGGTCCAATGCAATCGATAAAGAGCTTATTGATCCTCTCCTTCTCCCTCCTTCTTCAGTGCTTGCATAAGCTCGAGTAACTGTCCAAGTTGTTGATCTGCAATAGAAACAAACGGTTAGCAATATGATCGACTGCGGCAGAGTCCAAACAACAGTCAAAAACATACCACTCATCTTATCCAACTTGGCCTTGTCCAACTTATCACCTGCCCATTGGTTACCCTCCAACTTCTGCGCATATAGCTGCCACTCAGTCAAGAACCCGATCTATGATTGCCAATGTTAGTGACTGCAAAACAAGCCCTTCGGAACTTCCACTCTGCCTCCCCTTCTCTTCAACTCGATATAATTACACCAACTCAGATAAGAACAAACATACGATATGCAATGGGTTTTCCACGCCTCGATGCGCACGGAACTCATTCTTCACATAAGAATCGCCCAAGACGCGCATCTCGGGATCGAGTTTGCGATGGACGCGTAGAATGCGCCGGTAAAGCTGCAGCGGCGGGAGAAGAGCGAGAGCCTCGCTGAGGCTGGACTTTGAGCCGATCGAAGCCGGCGTGGCCATGAGTAAACGCTGAGCAATCCGCATCTTGAACGATTGGGATGTTTAGGGAAGATGGGAATATGACATAATTCCGGGGATTTTTGAGGCAAAGGCGGCGAAGAGAACGCGCGAATCAACGGGTCGGGATGTCTCGGGATCTTTAAAGATTTGACCTTTTTATCTCGTCTGTCATTTGCTGATACTTTTGATTTAATATTGCTTGATATATTCCACTTGACTGCATTGGTGCTTTTTCATTCTTGTGAAATTTGCCTCAGGCCAAGCTCGTGCATTCTGCATACAATTTCGAGATACCCCCACTATCTTCAAAGACTCGAACCTCGAATTTCTGAAAAGCAACTTGGTTTTATTAAACATACAAACCATGCTTCCCACACCAGATACTTCACATGTGTCCTTCGACACCATCTATGAGCCATCCGAGGACTCATACCTCTTCCTAGACACATTGTCATCAGCATCCGAATCAAAATGGCTCTCTGAACGATTCCCAAAGAACCAAGAGGCATCACCACTAGTCGTCGAAGTAGGCACAGGCTCTGGTGTTGTGCTAGCCTTCACAGCCGCGCAGTCTCAACAAATCTTTGGCCGACGCGATATTCTCACATTAGGCACTGATGTGAACCGCAATGCTTGCATCGCAACGCGGAAGACCGCAACGACAGCCATTCAGGCAGAACAACAGCCGTCCCCTCAATCAGTTCACATTTCTTCATTGACAGCCGATCTTTGTGCACCTCTTCGCCCCGGCAGCGTTGATGTCCTCCTCTTCAACCCACCTTATGTTCCGACTGAGGATCTGCCCCGTCTGCCCTCTGCGGCGGAAAATGACCCTGCTGTTTCAGAGGCCATGTCTCGCTCTGCCAAGTTCGACAATGACTCGTACTTTTTGTCGTTGACGTATGCGGGCGGAGCGGATGGTATGGAAACTACGGATAGGCTGCTTGACGCTATTCCCGGTGTGCTGTCTGTGCGTGGTGTGGCTTATGTCTTACTTTGCAAGCAGAATCGACCTGATGAGGTCATGGAGCGCATCCGTGGCTGGGGTGGATGGCGGGTTGAAACGGCAGGGTCGAGTGGGATGCAGGCTGGGTGGGAGAAATTGGTCATTGTGAGGATATGGAGAGAGGATAGCTCATGAGGAGTAGATAATTGAACAACGATGATACCATTTGTGAATTAACGAAAAGCAAGAAATAAGGAAACATAGTTATACACACCCACTAACTAACTGCCTAGTAGTTCACAATTGTGAAAAGAATCATTCCCATTCCCACTCGACGTAGCGCTCACAGCCAGTGGCGCCGGTTGCCTCAAGGATACCAAACACACGCTGAGGGGGATGTTTTCCAGGTCGCATTGGCCAGTGGGATACGATTGTGTTGTTGCCCCTCATCTTCAACCCATATTTGCTTGTGAATTTATCAAACCCTGTGGCCTTTTTGTAAAGATCGAATAATTTACTGACATCGCGGAAAAAAGTGCTTGATCTCCTGATTCTGATTTCGTCTGCATCACTTCTATCCGTTGACTGGGGTTCGGGGAGGTATTTTGCAGCACGAGCCATGTCCCTGTCAAGTGAGTCGCTAGTCCACATGTCGTCAATGTCGCGAATAAAGAGGACAAGCAGCATGGCCTTCGGGTTTTGAATCTTCGGCTTCAGTAGCTGGCTAAATATGGCGAGGTTGATATCGATTCCAAGCACGTCTTTTTCTGCAGTTACGTATGTCTATATCGCATTAGCATGGTTCTCCAACTAAAATAAAAGAGTTAGGGAAGCCAAGGTGAATAAATTACGTCAATTCGGTCAAATCCTGCATGTCCGCTCGACTCGTTGAAATATTTCGGTAATTCTAGTGAATCGATAGAAAGAAGTCGAATGCTAATATCTCGCTTCGAGATTTGGCGACAGAAACCTAAGATAGTCTCTCGGAGATGATTGAATAGCATGCCGTACAGATCATTTTTCGCAGCATACCTCGCAGTTTGTGGTCCATTGCATATCTCCAAAAGGTTCCAGCTGTTTCGCGGATCTGCAGTATCTGGCATGGGCCAAGAATGACTAGCATGGAAAAGTGTTCTAATTGTATTAATGGACTGGCGAGTACAAAGAGGAGTTGGAGAAACTAACGGATTAGGCGTGTCAAATTCTTCGCGTGAGCACCCAAAAGGCAAAAATATGCCATCACGGCGGAACTTCATCGTGCAGACGCGCCAATATTGAGGCTGTTCATATAGAGACCTATGGAGGTGGTCCACTCTGTTGGTCGGCAATGTGACTTGTTGTCGATTGCGGGTAGCCGTGGCAGCAGAAAGACAACCAGGAACCTGAAGATAATCTCGAAGACGTT